TATTTTTTCGATCGTGTTTGCATTCGGGTTCGTGGGTTCCATCTTTTGATGTTCAGCTCTACCTTTTTTTTGATTCATAGTATACACATACATGTTACATTCAGCTCATTCAACCTTTAACATTTGCTCACCTTGGTGGATATTCCCTCGTTCCAGTGGAGGATCAGTGTGATCTCGCGGCAGGACTTCGAAGCTTACCTGAATGCATGCTACCATGATTCGCTATGTTACCAAGCTACCTGCCAACCTGCATGCTTGAGCTTCACAGCTAAGGAGAGCGTGTTATTGCAAAAGTCGTTCCCATTGTCACGACCGAGACAAGAGGAGCCACCGGCCAGTGGTGCTTTGTCGGTCAGAGCACCCACGGAAAGAAAAAGACGTCTAAGACTAAGAGTCTAAAAGTCCTTAAATGGGAGGACACAAACTACTAGAAGCAGGCATCGCTACTAGGAGCAAGGACGCTACTAGGGGCTCCTGGCCTTACTACTAGTAACAATAAAGTCATAAAGCTACTATTTTCTTTATTGGAGCCAAAACCGACCGACCCCTCGAAGGGTTGCTCCTTGGGATCGCCCAGTCACTTGTTGCTCCTTTGGGCTGCGACATACTTCTCCACTTCACGGCATAGACTGCCGGCCCCTGCCCCCCCAAAATAGCGAAGCGTTTCTGCGGCCAACGGCCTGGAACCTGGAATTCCTACTGAGTTGGCTATTGGTTTCGCATGTGAAAGATGTCAAGCTGGGCTTCAGCGTGAAGACGCTGAAGACGAAAGTTGTAGATGCCTGCAAGAGAACTTTGCTGTGTCAGGACTACCAGGTACATCGTGACTTTGACGAGATGGATGGTGGAGCTTCCAGGTTGCCTCCAATGCTAAGGCTCTACTCTCTGCCCGTTCCAATTTTAGTGTCCCACACATCATGCAGTGCAGGTGTTCCAGACATCTGAGGGGATTGTTGGCTTTGAGATTGGTAGTGCATAGGTTGTATGTTGTTGGCTGGGGTTCTACATTCACAGGGCTGACCAGTTGGTGCAGGGTTGGACACTGTCGAAAGCTTGTTCAGCGCACAAAGAACGACAGGCATGATATTGGTTATTACTGTGTGTTACTCTCCCTTAGTAAAAGTTTGTAGACATGAATTTTGCTTCTGGTTTCTTTTGGTCAACTAGGAATCCGATTTGCTTATTACTGGTGAGTTCCGAACCTCGGCACAGGTTCTGGGGTCGCCCGAACGCGGCCCCAAACGTGCGAAGGCCGGCCGTGACTCTTTGTGTAAAGAAATCGCTTCATTTTTTTGGAAAGACACCTGGTCCCAAACTGGTGTTGCTTTGCCGGCTTTGCCCACACGATATTATACAATATTATACATTGTGTGACCTGTGGCAAGTAGTCTATTACTATACAAACGAGGGGCCGGGCCTCCTCGTACAATATAACGTAGCGTATGTGAGAACAAACTGAGATACTGCAGCTGTAAAAAGACCATTTGCGTGAAGGCAACATAATATGTGTTTTGTTTGTTTTGTGGAATGTTAAGAGAACTAAGTCCCTAAAAACTGGGGACTTGCAGGATTTTGTCTATTTCCGCAAAGCATACAAACTAACAACGATATGCTTTAGTTGACTTTCTTTGTATTCCGCAAACTAAACAATATATATATATATATATAATAATCCTTTTTGGATGGCTTACGTGTCTGGAACACTGAAAAAGTCCTTTGCCTGAAATACGGCTATAGGCTATAGGCATTCAGCGCTCTACTGGCTGCACTCTACCTACCATACATTCCTCCACCTGAATAACTCTTTTAGTTTGCTTTGCCCTACTCTAATTCCTAACATATAAAAATAGAAATAGATAAAAGTTCGGGTTGCGTCACTTGCTCTGTTGAAAGATGGGAAGAGTACAATTCAACCAGGACTAGGGCTACTACATAATATACATATAAGTACAAGGCATAAAGGAAGACTTCAGAAGAATACATACTTTTTTCACCTCCAAGCGCGTATTCGGGACAGGCCCAACGTCGCATAATACAGAAAGTGAGAAGACTTCAACATACAAGCGTGCAAAAGGCTTGAACATCAGACAGGAGAGGGGCGCTGGACCAAGGCAGGCAAGAGCAATCGAAAAGTAAGGAAGAGAACCGTTCTGTTTGTAATGATGCAGGATGTCCTGGTTTTGTGAAGCTCATTCAATCTTTTGATTTTTGGGAACCTGTCGAGTCAGATGTAATTACTTGCATAGGATTTGTACTCATGCTTCCCCGTGTTTCCCATTTATGAAAAAGACTCGTCAAGCCGTCAAGTAGCTCTTCTTCTTAGTTGGTTTGCTTCTATTATTTGGCTCCTTTTCTTGATTTTCAGAGATCCCCCTAAGAAGATTCGCCTCAGGCTCTCCAGTTGTCCATGGCGTGAACGCCTTTCATGAGAATACAGTTCAAAACATATTGCCACACACGCACACAAGTTTGAAGCAGTTGCTACTTGGACTATAAAGTTATTTCTACAGTACCCTTCCTTGATGAGTTTGTTCCACTACCTTCCTTTGTCAGATGTTTTTGTCCATCTCTGTTTTGTTTCTATGTGTCTTTTCTTCTTGACCGCTTCTTCACATTTTTGCATTGTTGTGTTGGTCACATGCTGCTCCTATTCTCAATGGGCGTTTCAACTTTCTTTTTGTGAAGTCTATTTCTTAGGGTCCTTTTCCGATTAAAAGAAACATAATCAGAACTTGCAATAGAAGGAGCTAGACGAGAGGCAAAAAGGATCGATTGGCCGCCATCATTGCAATATGCGCCATAACATATTGCTCTTTAGTCACTGCTTTGGTTAACCTAACAGTGGTTCTTCCAGAGACAAACGGATTGGTTGACCACCACCGCTCTCATTGCAACTTACGTGATAACGTATTGCCTGTCCTTTTTCCTTAAAATAATGGTTCTTCCCTTCTTGCTTAATTAGGTTGTTGATTGTGGATGAAGCTATTGCAGGACATATCAGGACACAGATTTCCGAGGCTACATTTTTCCATTTTTGACCCTCACAGAGGAGCAACCTTGTATGACACTTAGTATCTTCCTCAATGCAGGCCACCTAGCTTGTATACTGTATGTATATACGCGTTTTATAAACTCAACATGTTTTCAAAGATGACATCATTGGCGAAACAAGTTTTGTATAATGGGGAGGAGGCTCTGGAAAGTAAGGGTATTCTTCAAACGACTTCAAAAGGCCGATCCTCAGACGGTTTGAGGAACTTGTAAATAAGGGTCTTCGCATGTTTGAAGATCAGATGCGTTATCAAAAGAGAAACAGCACTGCACAAGTAGGTGCTGGGAGGGAGGTTAGCTTTCTTTTCTTGCACATTATATAACATATAGACAATTTATGATACTGTTTGCCACGCCTCAAATTATATATAAGGATCGTGTGTCAGAGAGCACACAAAGTTGCTCGAGGCCCCAGACTGTGATTGGTGCTGCCAATGATTCGGTGGAGCTTCAACGGCTGGACACTTCCAACTAAAGTTGGGGTGACGTGATTTGGGTTTTGGATTTGAATGTTGATACTGTCAGAATATGCCAACAAACTCGAAAACGACCTTCCACTCCATATGTTTGCTTGTATTATTGTTTTGGTTTAATCAATGAAATTAAGTTATTTGGAATCCACATGGGTTGAACTTTGCGCCGAGGAGTCAAGCCCCGACAACCAAAAGTACCAGGGCAACAGCGGCTAACCATCAACGAGCCGACTGCTTTGTTCGATGGTTCCGTCGAAATGCAGCTGAAAAGGTTCAGGAATGGCTGGCGACTTCATCGAGTCTGACGACGAAACGCGCTTGGACCTGGACGAAAAATCGCTCCGACGGATCTCTTTCTCAACGGACCGTGATGGCGATTGATAACACGGCTGCGGCTGTATTGGCCAGTGTCACAATGCTTGACCACTGGTAGCGGGCTGAAACTGATGATGCTGATTGAAGCGAAGATTGTGTGAAAGTTCCAGTGTGTTTTCCTTGGACGGATAGTTTAACTCTTGCAACCTCCAAAGCATTCATTAGTCGTCGTGTAATTAGAGTTTTTATTGGGTTCGTGTCGTGTCCGTGTCCTTTTACTGTGATTTTGGGGGGAATTTGCCAGTACAAGAGCCTCCTGGATCAAGAACACAAAGGGTAGAGTTGTAGAGTTTGATTGCTCTTCGTTACACTGGGGAAGTCCAGCACGAGGAAAACAGAGCAAGAGACGCATTGTTCAGAAAGGAACCCTGCATGGTAGACCCGCTGGATCCTGCTCCTATTTTTGTAGATTCATGTAGCTTCATGTTCCTTTTCCTGCCATCTCGAGAACTGAAACCTAATCGAACTAGGCCAGGTCTAAATAGACCTTGTTGGAGAGGTCTACTTGGAGCAGAGCATCGGAGTTTCCATTCCTCTTTTTTGGCGCTGGCGGCCTCAGTCGCGGAACGCCCCGAGGAGACGCGGCGCTTGTTGCGACGCACGAGTTTAGCCGTCCAGGTCGTGCAGATCGCAAGTTTCTTTTGCTAAATTTGCTGAGTCCAGGATATGATGAGTGAAGGATATCCAGGATAGCAGAGTCCAGGATATATGGATCGCTAGTTTTTTCTTTTGATGAGTCCGAGTCCAGGATATCCAGGATCTTGCATCAGCTTGAACCGGATTTGAGGTGTGTACCCAAATTGCAAAAACATCCTAAAACCATAATTCTGCAAGACCAGCACTTGACAAGACCAACACGTGCAACCGTTTCCCGTATCCGGCTTAGGTGCTTCTCGGGTGACCTATTCCCTGGCCTTGCCCAGAGATACAGAGCTTGTGGCAGTTCGTCTAGATGCAACACAGGACGCCGTTGCATGCTGCAAAGGTTCAAAAGATCAGACTTATCAGTTTTCTCAACCCGATTTGGGGTTACAGAAGAGGTTCATACAGTATCATAATAAGAATAAATGTATGATTGTACGGTGCAACTACAATAATATATGTATACAATCTCATGACTAGCCCTTTGCAGGCAATATCTTGGCCAATGATAGAAGCCGAGGCAAACTTCTTGCATGTTTAGTTCGCTTCAAGCAAAGACGCTGCAATCCCGTTATTTGACTGAGCTTGTAAATATTGTGCCAAACATGGATGCAAATAAGCTACCTTGATCAAGGGGACTCCGGTGAAGCAGACCCGCAATACCTCAACAGGCAGGGCTCACAGCATGGCAGGAGACTGGCTCAATAGAGCCCTTCGCTTTGCACGTGCCTGACAAAGGGCCATGCGCCCAGCTCATCCAAGATGGTTTGTGCTGAGCTCCCAGATCCGACCCGCCGTTGGCCGCAGTTGCCTGCCGCTGTCGCTGTCGAATGCTGGTAAGCTGGCTGGTGCCTTGGGGGTGCCACTGCGACCCTCTGGGTGCATGGCAGTCACAGCGGATTGATGTGGGGAAAGGTTCGGGACGCATTGCAGTCACAGCTGTTTGGATTGTTTGAACAATCACTATTTAAGTACTTACAGTTACTTCTGATGCGCCTTCCTTTTCGGTGAAGGTTTTTGTGCCAAGACAGTGCTGTACTTCCTTTTCCTCGAATCGAACTGATTGTCGACTTCGCAGACCTCCGTACTCTGTGGGCTCTCAGTTCTATCGACACAGATTGAACTCACCATGGCTTGACCTCGAGGCTGAGCACGACATTGACCCCCGGAGTGCCTTCACACTACGTGGAAGCGACTGCCTCGGTTCTTCTCACTTCTCTGATGGGCGACACAGTGGAATCGGTGGTCATTGGCTGCATTGGCTTGGGGAGAACATGGGACCAAGCGCATGTGCCCAGGGTTTTTACTTTCTTCGTGGGGAGGGGAAGATGAAAAGGTGGGTCCTGAAGAGAAGAGGGTACTATATATATAATATGTTGGCTGCTAGTATCTATATAACAAGTATAGCTACTATGCAATTGAACGCAGAAGAACTCAGGCTCTTTCTGGAAGAACACCTCGCATGCTTGATTTGGTTCCTAAATCTTCAGGAAAACTTAACATTCTCAGCCAGCCTGCACACTCAGGTTCCAATGGGTCAGCCAATTCAGCTGAGGCCATCCCAAAGGGACCTGGTATGACCCTGCTGTGCCACCATATTTGCCAAACATTCTGAGACAGAGAAAGACTGTTGGGGTTTAACATGGTTTAACAGTTTAACTTGTTTTAGCCACCGGGTCGAAAACCGATCGTGTAGTCTAGTGGTATTCATTTTCACAATCACTTGAAATCGGACTTAATTATCTATAGTCTATACTTATCGTTCCCTTTTTCGACTCGGTGGCCATTGAGGAGAAGACGTGATGGTTGGTTCGTGCTGGAATGATGACGTGGATGTCCTGTCAAAAACATTGTCATCGATTTCACAAGATAATTTTCGGTTTCACGACATGTTCATCAGTGTCACGACATTGTCATCGTGCATGAATGTTGTCATCGAGTAGTCGTGTGATAAAATTGGGGGTTGGGGGGTTGGGTCGTACTGGAATGAAGATGAATGAAGACGTTGATGTTTGTGTTGATCACAGACGGGGCACCATGCTACCCGAACACGGTATACACGCAAGATGCACCACTTCAGTGTGAATCATTCTAATGGTCAGGCTTCGAAAGGGTCTTGGTCTAGAAACGCATCCACGCTGGTGGCATCAATTGAAATCGCATGAAAGCGTTCGTGCCACACTCTCTTGGATCAATGCTGATCAAGGTCCCCCAAATTGAACAAAGAGTTAGGAGTCGGCAGTGGCGCTTCTCGCGAGACCTTTTCGCACGCTGCGGCAGAGAGCTCTCGGACATCTCAAGTGTGAGAAAGGGAAAGCGGGAGTTTCCGGAGCTCTTCCTATTGGGAAAATGCCGACTCGGTCAAAATTCATCAATGAGACAAACAAAACACATAATTGTTACTTTTTGTCCCATCAAATGCGGTGTAGTTGTATGGAAACACAGCCAGGTGTTGTACATTTAATTTCCAATGAGCTCTTAGCTCAAAGCTACGCATTTCTACCGCATTCGCTAACCGCAGCTTCTTGTGAAATGCGCACGACTACACGTTCGGCTTGCAAACCGGCGGGTCGTTTTTTTAGTTATATGAGAACTGCTAGCATGCTTCCAGAGGCTGGACATACGGCAGCTGAGCTATGAGCAACGCACTTAATGGGTTGGAACCGTCGGGTTGATTGAAATGATGTCAATGAAGACCGCCTGCCAATGCGCGGCTAGGCGGCTAGAGCCTGCATAGAGCTTGCTTGACACCTCGATGCAAAAGCTCCTGGTAGCGTCCTTGCTCCTAGTAGTACGGCCAGGAGCCCCTAGTAGCGTTCTTGCTCCTAGTAGCGATGCCCTTTGCTTCTAGTAGCGTCATCGATACTAGGAGTTTTGTTGGATCGGTGTGATTGGAGTGCTGCCTTTACGGCCTTTATCATCATGTCATTTCTACGACAAATGTATTCACATATTGGTCACAGATTGGCATACAAAGGTCGAGGTCTTCCTTTTCCATGCCCTCTTCATTTTTGTTGACGCAAACTTGAAAAACAAAAAACACAAAAACACTTGAAATCATCCAAAACCAGTCTATTTATGATACTCAATGCGTCAAAACAATCATGCCGGTCACTGCTCACCTGCTAAGGATCTCACTGGTTCGTTCCAGGATCGGCTTCTATGGACAGGGAATTTGGCCGGATCCAGCACAGCTTTATCCGCCGGAAGGAACTTTAGCAGGCCAGGCCGGCAGTTTGCAGCAAAAGATGCCAAGAAAAGGCCACAAATCAATGGCCAGGCCTTGGATTCGGACCCACATGAGAGCGGTCTTCCCCAGCTGAATGTCCACAGGCTTGAACCTTTGGGATAGCATGGGCACCCCCGCTATCATGGTCAGCTTCTCAGCATGACCACTGCGTCGTCGCTGACAGAGGTGTCGAGGTTGATTGAACGATCGCAGACGGCAGCCTCCTGCCGTGTTGATGGAGCATGAACATGAGTGTTTGAGTTCTGAGTCGGTTTCCCGACCTGCCTGTTTGATTCCATCGGATGATATATCAGGAGGATCCGGAAGGCAGATGGAGTTTGTCCTTCTTGACCCCCCCGGTTTGTGAGACCAAACCACCCACAGCTCCATACAACCTGTGCTACTACAGGTCTGGTTCATGCCGCGCGTCTCAATGTACTTTGCGCCAAGTTCCCAGCACAATGTGACAAGGACTTGTGTGAAACACGGTGAATCCTGAAACCATGTGAAACCATGTGCTGAATAACTGTGCCTTTCGAAGGGTCCAAAGGGTCCGAAGGTGATCTCAAGCGAAACTGGCTGGGGGGAAGCGACAGCCAAATTCAGTGACAGCCCAAAACACTCAGGATATTTTCTGGGGATCGTTTTCAAGTACACACGTCACTAACCATCACTTTAAACACGTTTAAACAATAGCGTTTGATACAAGAACGGATTACCGCTTTTTGCGAAAAGGTGCTTGACCTGCATTTTTCTGACTGATCCGTGTCAAATTTGTACTTTTGCATGGTGATGGTGTAAGGGTGGCTGGACCCGTGGCTCAATTATTCAATGCCCATGTAAATATATCACGAAAGCCAGCCGATAGGCAAGGCTTGAGTTTTTAGGGTGAACGAAGTGAATAAAGGGGGTGTGGGGGGGGGTTCGCGCAGAGGCCACTTTTTGGGAGGTCGAACCTTGAGCCTGGTGGGGGAGAGCGTTCAAAAGAAGGGTCAGGAAAGCATCGAAAAAGTGGTTTGGTGATGCAAGTGATGTAAATGACACCGAGTAGTGCATCATTAGCATCATGAAGGGGTCTGGAGACAATTTTTTAGTCCTGAGCAGGACCAAGAAGGACCAAGCAACAAAGAGTGAACGCTCTGGGAGCGAACGATGTGAGTATGTCCAGTTGGGCGAGGGTGAACTCAAGGCGGGACGCGCGGAAGCGTTCAACAAGATGCCCAAAACAATTACCACAGCAACAGAAAGGATGTTTTTCAGGCACTCATATGTATCTCTATACGGAGTCAGATTGTTTTGCTTAGATCTGGGGCATGCACAGATCAGGGGCATTTCTGGACAAGCTTTAGCAGGCTGCAGCTCTGAGGCTTCGTAGCGAGCAAGCGAGGGGCGCTTAGCAGCAACTCTCTGTGGCCACGTGTGGAAGACTTAAACACGATGCCCGAAATATGGCCGACAACAGCGAAAAACATATTTCGGGCATCGCTGTGTTTTTTTCGTGTTGGGTCACGTATTGTTACTTCTCAGTTAACTACCTGCAGGTTTTTGCAGTTCCTCGCACCTTCACCAGGACCATTTTCGTCAGTGCATTCAGCCACACACATTGCTAGATAAAATGTCAAAAGATGTGCCAGATAGAATGTCACGAGATATGCCAGAAAGAATGTCCGAAGATATGCCCGAGAACATGTCAGAAGACATGCTAGAAAGAGTGCCAGACATAATGTCAGAAGATGCCAGATAGAATGTCAAAAGATTTACCAGGAAGTGAATAAGGGTGTGGGGAAAAATGTAAAATGGGGGTTCTGGGGAGTTCTTGTTCATCAACCGCATCGTTGAATTTTCTTGGCTCTTGAAACCTTTGTCGTTTTTCTGGGGTCTTGTTATGCGTGTTTCTAGGGTCATAACTGGCACTTCATTGTTTGGATTGAATGAAGGGGATAATTGAGGTGGTCAGAGTTCTATGTGTAGGTTCAGGTTCAAATTCTACCAAGCTGTTCTTCAAAGATGTCGAATTATTTGCTTCAAATTCATGTATTGATTGAGGTTAGGCGCTGTGGTTCCTGTTTGGTTTTGCATATCAAGCATCCTTCAATCCAAAGCCAGTTTGGCACAAATTGACTGAACCGATGTATTGTCCTTTTTCTTTGACATTCTGCAGATGCATCTTTGTGAGGCAGGTTCAGCTTGCGCCAGGCAGGTTCGTCCTTCCAAGCGGTCATGCACGAACGCAGCCTGCAAGGGCTTTTCCGGCGCAGACCGTTAAAACTGATTGGACTTTGTTGAGCACAGGGAGCGCTGGTTCTCCAAGCTCTCATTCAAAGGTTCCTTCCTGGCTTCTTCATGAACAGGGCAGTGAGGTAGTCTGGGCAAAGGCTGAAAAGAGCCCGCCCCTGCACGGCCTTTCGAGGAGGAATGCATCAAGGACTTCATCAATTTACCTCAACAAGAAGCTTTGAGCGCCCCTTCGTTCTTGGTGGTCAGTGGTTCCCAAGTCATTGGGAAATCAACCATGCTGAACAATCTCATGCGTGAGCATGTGAAGAATGGCAAAAGGGTGCTGCCGCTCAAGATGTCAAGCCGTCCTGGTGAGGACTTGAAGCATCATAACACTGGTGGGATGGAATAGGCACGTGGAAAGCATAAGCACGATTAATTCATAATATCTTAATTAATCATATTATGAACTAATCCTTTAAACCACACACAATCCCAAAAATAAAGCACAACAACCTAATCAAATTTCCACCTCGTTGAATATCACCGAACAGAGTGACTTTTAGCACCAAATGTTCCCCAGAAACCCCATAGAGAATAACGACAAAGCCTCAACACAAATTTTAGCGAGGCAAACAAAATCAACGAGGTGGTTGATGAACAAGAACTCCCCAGAACCCCCATTTTACAATTTTTTTTGGGGTGGTCGCGCAGAGACCACTTTTGGGAGGTCGAACCTTGAGCCTGGTGGGGGAGAGCGTTCAAAAGTAGGGTCAGGAAAGCATCGAAGAAGTGGTTTGGTGATGCATTTCATGCTGTGCTCCGATCTTGATCTACTCCACGTTGATACAAGCTCCACGAAAGCTACAGGCATTCAACAATAAGTGCTCCGCTATTTATTCCTCCCAGTCTTGCACTACCATATTGGTCTCTCGCTGGCTTTCGTCCTCTCCTTTGTCAGGTATTGGGAACAAGAAACTACTAGGGGCTCCTGGCCTTACTACTATAGGAGCAAGAAACTATATCCACTCCTAGTGGGGTTCAAGTGCACCGGTGACCGCTCCCTCACGAGGGGGTCGGCATGGTGCTGTCGACACCGCGATGCACACCTACCTGATGCGACAGCACATGCAACCGTGAGTATTCAGATCACTCAGCTGGTTGAATACCACTAGCTTCAATGGCCAAGGCCATCTGCCTGCAATGCCTGCAAGCTGGATGATTCTCAAACCAACTTTGACTGCTGGGTGTCCTACAGAGGTGTGTCAAGAACGAGTGTCACGCAAGAGTGTTTGCAACAGCGTTGCACAAGAGTGTCCTGTAACGATATTGTACAAGAGTCTCGCGACAGTCTCGCACAAGAGTCGAATGTCGGTGAATAGTGTCAAGCAAGAGTGCTGCAAATGATCGTGGACACTCGAGCAAGAGTGTCTTAGAAGGGTGCCAAGCAAGAGTGTCATAGAAAAACGATGAAACATGTATATATGCAATACGTTTTCACATTCTTTTGACCAGGAGTGTCACACAGTCTGATTTAAATAGTTGTGCCAAAATTTGGGTTCGTCTCGTGAGTTTCATTCTATTGTGTGCTTGATATATGTTGCAGCATTGCGTTGCATTGCGTTGCATTGCATTGCGTTGCATTGCGCTGCATGCACCACTCAGGTCTCTTCGGGAGGAAGCACATGGCGTCAGGCCGCGAAAGCGAGCTTTCAGCCTGTCGTTGGGTTGAGCGTGTGAGAGCAGGCAGGTGACACCTCGGACAAATGCGGTTGGAAAGGACGGGTCGTTGTTCACCATGGTATTTTCCTTGGTGACGCTGGGGTCGTGAACTGCATGGTGACTTCTAGGAGACAGGCTATGCCAGGTTTCCTAGCTGGCCGTAGTGAACATATCAGACATATCACATCCCATTTGCGATTTGCCATGTACCGAGAGGTTGGCAGCAAGCCCGAATGATCCTGATGCATTGGTGGAGTGGCGCATCAATGCCGAGACCTGGCAACCTTTAGTTTGGGTCTTGGTGTGTTGTTGGGTGCTGTTATTCCTTGCATTTTATCTTTATAGCCGCACTGCACCTGCTCTTTCACAGGTGCCGGGCAGGACATCAGAAGTTGGGGCCACCACCTCAGTGCAGAGCCAACACTTGGTTGCTCCAACCGTGTAACAACGATTGCCTGATTGCCTTCATTCTGAGCGTGGCAATAGATGGTGCGCAATAGGCCAGAACAGGCGCGGGCGAACAGCAGTCAAATCCTCAGCTCAGACTTAGGAGGTGGCTCCTTACGGTTGGACTCTGTTGGAGGTACGCGACAAGCTCAGTGCAATTTTTTCAGTTTTTAGCATGATGTTTGCCATGTGCAAAAGGATGCGAAAGGTATTTGGTGTCGTATGTCCTTTTGGTCCTGACACAAGATACCCTCAAGTTGCGCTTCCTTTTGGGGGGGCTAAAGATGGATCCGCCAGAATCTGCAGTCCTCGCAACGTGAAACGACCAAAGAACAACTTCTTTTGCTGCACCAGGTGTCTCATCATCTTTGGTCAAGACCTTGTCACCGCTACTCTATGAGGCTTTATGGATCTGAGACAAGTTTGGAATCCAGCAACCATGCTGTCCTCAAAGTTCAGTAGAATATAGCAGAATGATGCAAATTGATTTTTCTTGTTTAACTTTGTTTTTGGTTGATGGGAACTGTAGAGACTGGTATTATGCTTCTTTGATGGACCTTGGAAGTAGACTTCAATTTGAGATTTGAGAGGGCCAGGACCCTCAGGAGCTCTTTGCTTGGGATCATGTTGCCATGAATATTTCACACAGGAGAACTGTTTGGCCCAGGCTTAGCTGTTTGCCAGCCTGCATGGGCCAGCCGTTTTGACCCCAACCTTTGTGGACCAAAAAGAACTCCTGCAGGTTGTCTTAGCTCGTGGAAGTGTTTGCCATCCCACCTGCGCATCATGTTGGGGACCGTCGAAGACGCAATGTGAGGCCCTTCAAGTTTTGAAGTTTGATTTGCGCAACGAACAAACTTATTTTTGTCTAATGTTAAAACATGTTAAAAACCCGTTGATTCCTACTTAGTTAAGTGGGTTCCTATTTAATTATATAAGTAAGGGAGCAAGCAACATGCTCCTAGTAGCTACTACCTACTGGACGCAGGATTTCTCACGCTTCTCAAATCCCAAATAAGCTCCCCCCCGCCCCTCGCACTAATGATTTGGTTCCTAGATTTTTGGCGAAACTTAACTTGTTGGATCTTGCTGGTACTGCACCATCACCCCTGTTTTCTTTGCCTGAGCAGCGAAACAAACAAAACACAAGTCTTATAGATTAAATGTATGGAAGTCAATTTGCCGTGCCAATATCAATCTCCAGCGTGGGAACATTTTGTGAAGCAGAGAGCTTTTGCACAAATCCCACGCTGCACGTGCCAGTCTTGCAATGCACCGTTGGTACTCGTGGACAGCAAATGCCTGTACACATCGTGCGAGAACCCCAGTCGTCGAAATCAGATCGACACAAACATCGTTGCCTGAACCCTGTGCTGTGCAGGAAATGGGCAAATGCTCAATACCGATGTATATACATTTGTGTGCTCCTTGGAATTCAAACCAGCGCACGGTCCACAGTGGAATGTGTGTTTTGGCTCTGAGACAAAGCTTTTCATTGTTGTCCTGACTTGTGCGCTGAATCTAGTTCAATGCGCACATTGCTTTGATTGCAATGCTTGCCTTCACAAGTGCCGGGCCACTAACAAGCAGGGTGAGCACTGCCCAGCCCAGCCGCCACAGTGTTTTTCAATTGACTCCTGCGCATACAGCTCCAGCTTTGAGTGCCCAATTCCAAGCAAGGGTGCCAACTGCAATTGCTGCTGCACTTTGGATTGGACAGAGGCGCCGAGTGATTCGCTTTGCACGAGGTTCTTCCTCCACGCAGCTGCATGAGGGAAAGGTGAAAAGCTACAACAATGAGAAAGGCTTTGGGTTCATTGAATGTGATCACACGTTCCGTCGATTCAAACGTGATGTCTTCTTGCACAAGCAGCAGGCAGATGGTTTGCAGGTGGGAGATGCGGTGAAGTTTGAACTCGAACTGAACCCACAAGGGAATCCTCAAGCTCGGAATGTCACCAAAATGCTGCCGGGGCAATTGGGATTAATAGATAGGAAGGATGAGGTTGAAGATGCTTGGGCTGCAGTTGAAGCAGACCAGGCAAGCACAAGCACAGTGACTTCGGAAGCTGATCCTGTGGAAGATGCTTGGGCAATGGTGGATGCGGAGAACCAACAGCAAGAGTTCGGAGAACCAACAGCCGTGGATCAACACCAGGACGATGACCCGGTCGAGGAAGATGCCAATGCAAAATTTCTGGGTTTGAATGCCTCCCTCCTTCGTGGAGCAGAGGAGGCTATCAAGCAGAAGAAGGAGTTGGAGAGACAACTTGCAGACAGTGCTGTCTTGGCAGATCCTAAAGAATATGCAAGGAAGTCCACAATCTTGTCCCGGTTCACGACTATCGCAGACACCCTTGAGGAGCTTCGACAAGTCGCAGAGGAAGCTGCAGATGCAAGACAGATGGCTTCTCAGTATGCTCCAGGCGATGAGATGCATGAGCTTGCACTGGAGGAAGCGAGGGAACTTCGCAAGAAGCAGTCAGATGTTGCTTCCAGACTACAGCTTGAAATGCTCACGCCCGATGAGAGGGATGATGCCACCTCTGTCTTAGTTGAAATTCGACCCGGAGTCGGTGGAGATGAAGCCTGCCTTTGGGCCGAGGACTTGGTGGACATGTATCAGAAGTACTGCACAGCGGAGGATTTGCGTTGCAAGGTCATCTCCGCCACGAAGAAAGATGGTGGTGGCCTCCAGGAGGCCACGCTCAACGTCCAAGGGAGTGGTGCCTGGACCAAGTTCAAGTTCGAGAGTGGCGTGCACCGTGTTCAGCGGGTCCCCAGCACTGAGAGGCAAGGCCGAGTTCATACCTCCACAGCAACTGTGGCGATCATGCCAGAAATTGAGGACACCACTTCCATTGACGAGGAGAAAGTCATCCGGGAGACCAAATTCCAGTACTGCCGATCGGGTGGCAAAGGTGGTCAGAACGTCAACAAGGTTGAGACTGCGGTGCATGCCACCCACGAACCCACTGGGATTCATTTCTTTGTGACTCAAGAGAGATCCCAGTTGCAGAACCGACAAATTGCCGTGAAACTCATCGTTTCGAAGCTCAAGAGCTTAGAGGCTGAGGAGGCTGCCAGGGAGGAGGCTGAGATGAGATCTTCCCAGATCGGCAGTGGGAGTCGTAGTGAGAAATCCCGGAGTTACAACTACAAAGAGAATCGGGTCACCGACCATCGATTAAATCAGAACTTCCCTTTGTCCATTGTTTTAGAGGGCAACTTACAAGAGCCTGTGAGGCTCATGGCCCTCCAAGATGAACGAGAAAAACTGCAGGCGCTGGAACGGAGCTTCAAGAAGACGGCCTGAAACGGGCGCCACCCAAACGGGCACCGCCCGAACGGGCGACGTTCGGTCCGATGGAGATTTTCTGATTCCGACAGTTTTCGGCCTCAAAAGCAAGGCCCCTGAAGATAGACCTGAAGCGTGAACTGCGGTTCAAAAACTCGCAAAAACGAATCATTTGAAAGCGAGATGCATGCTGCGATTTTTGGTTGTGTTCAACGCTTGTTCTTGTGGTGATTCAGTTTGGCGGCGGTACTCAAGTGACTGACTTAGAACCGTTGAAAATGCAGAGGCAAACACCACATGTTGGAATTAGCAGCTGAGTTGGCTGAGTTGTTAATTTTGGTTTTGAACCAATGTACTGTACAATATAAAGCAAATGTTGCAACCTTTTTTGCTTCAAATTCTTTGAGCAAACTGGTGCGGCGCGGCGCTCGCTGGAACTTGCAAACAACACCCAGAGGGCGTCACAGCTGCCTTTAGAGGGCGTTGCTTGCTCGCTGGTGGTAATTGACTAATTGACCAATAGAAGCCCTGCTGACAAAAGCACTTTGGTCGGTAAGAAGAGCTTTGAAGAGCGCAACATCTTCGATTCGCAAGATTGAATCACATCTTCGATTTGAGCCCGAGCTGCCCAAACAAAGATCTATCACACATGCAATATATAGCAGGTTGAAGAAGCGCCCCCTCATTTGCAAAGGCCAACAAAGGTCTCCAGAAAGCCGTTGACCTTGGAACGAGCAAGCGCCAGAATAATCCACCATGTGCCAGTCACCACCTTTGTAGTTAGAGACTCAACTGAAAGCGGCGGTTTGAGCATGACTCATGGCATGCGGTTTGTCAAATTCTGCCAAAGCATTCGCAGTCACCGCCTCTGTGTTCAGAGTGTGCGTGGCCTCAACAAGGTTCATCTTCAAGCTTGTACTTTAACCAGAGCATGGAGAGCTGCCAACCCTGTGCACCTCTCAGTCATCCAGGGAAAGCTATAGCATGCTATGGCTATAGCCAGTTGTTTGAGGTAGCACTTTCATTCACATGTTGCAGTCACCCGAAAATATCTGTTAATTCAACCAATGTGCCTTGCTTTCTTAGGTGACTCAAGTTGCTTGGAATGTGCAGATGGCAGTCCAAAGGGATGCCGGGAGCTTGAAGCGGACAACGCTTGAGCTTGAACGGCACCTCGAAATGTCTGAGTTCCGATTAAATGTGCACACGAAAGTTGGATACAGGATGAATGATACATATTATAATTATTGCGTACAATCAAACACCGCCCTTCTCCGGCTGGCATATTTTTAGTAAAGTAGAACGATGGTACAAAAAATAAGCAGGTTGTTCTATGTGTTCTGTTTGGAGATCTTCTCCAAGGCCTCCGATGTCCGCCATCTCGCTATTTGAGACCTGCATCGTCCGTTGCAGTTGTGGGCTCATGCGAGCAGCAGGGCACCTGAGTCGGCCTAAGTCAGTGCATGACCAAACAAGCAATCATAAGCCATCCATTGTTTCTTGGTGTTGTTTTCCAGAATAGGGTCATGTTTGAGAACTCTTCAGTTTGTTGGTGTGAGGATTCCGAATTAAGTCACAAGCCACAAAACAGTCTTCAGACCATGTGCAGTGGTTCATTCGCTTTGAACTTGGCATTGTGTGAAGGCTTTGGAACTAAATAGTTGCAGGAAGGTTTGGTGGAAGAAATCCTCAGAAATCCCAAATTTCGGAACCTCACGGCGCACGGTGGAGGGGAAAATAGTATAAAATAGTTGTATAGGTACTCCACACTTCCAAGGATTCATCAACTGTGCACCTTTGAGAGGTGATATATACAATTCCCTTATGTTTGACCATGCTGACACCGGTGGAATGTATTGCTCAACAAATTCCTAGGTCTTGCCTTGCTGGCTTCTTCGTTCAACCCTCCAGCCAACGTTGTCAGATGGCTTCTTGGACCGAACCGGTTCCATTCAGTCCTCATGCAGGACTGCCGTTCTCGCAATGTATGAATGTCTTGTTGACTTGACTGGAAGTACATTCGACATACTTCGACATACACAGGAAGTGCCCATGCCTTCTCCCTTCCCCCAGAACTATCCACAGGTCCGAGATGAATCGCAAGTATCGGTTGAGATTGAATAAGGCGCCTGCTGATGTCCAGGTAGAGCGTCCGGCATCCCAGTCTCTCAGTCAAGAGCTGACGGTGGTGGTACATCAAGAGCTGACGGTGGTGGTACAATATGGTAGAACTACTAGCATTCAATGTAACATATTTACATACGATACATATACAATATGTACAACTGTATACCATCCCCGATCACATTCAATGATTTTTTTGCTAACAAGGGATCGATGGTTCGTATTGTTTTGTTCGATGCTCTTCAGAAGTACCGTGTAACCACATCGGCACTTTCGTGCCAAACGAATCCAGATGTTCGTTAGTTTGGACATTGAAACGAATCCAACATAGTCCGACTGGTTTTGGTTGGCGATTGGGCATGGGCCAAGCTTCAGACAAGCTTAGGCTTCTTGTCATTTTCTTGTTTACTGTGATTTTCATACTCTCATTATGCTATATATGCCTCACAGTCTCAGGCGTTTCAGTGTGTCACCCTTGGCTCCATTCAAGGCTTCTACCTTCGGCTGACCTTGCGAATCTCTGTGGAGGACTTCTTGGCCAATGCTGGCACGTCGCATCCCTAGAGTCTTAGATCTAGCCATGGAGGTACAGCAATGCCATGGACGAGGTGCCAAGTCACCAAAGCAACCAAGGCTCAAAGAAGTCTTGAGGAAATCCGCAGAGACCTTGGCCGTGTCTTCTGAGGAGCTGAGTGAGACGAGAGACATCGGGATGACTAGAATCCTGTCATTGTGCCATTTGTGATCATACCAGTTGTGATCACTCCGGTTTGGTAGCTGTTGAGACAGGATGGGATCACGGGTAGTGAACAGATTGATACAGATTGTTTCTTAAAGTCAGTCTTGAGTCAGGCAGTGCTTTCAATTGCTTTAGTTTTCACCAGGCCCGAGTTGGAAGCAGCAATTGGAAGTTACTTCGATTGAATGGGCCAGCTTGATTCAAAGAACGTCAAAGGTACCAACAAACTAACAAGATTGAGGTTGGTAGTCAAGAGTTTGTTCATTGGGCCCACAGTTGTTGGCTTACACAGTCTAGGCAACTATCACTTCACTACCAACAGTTGCACAAGTGAGTAGTATGAGTGGTCAGGATGTACGCTTCCACAGATGGGACTCGGCCAAAGAAGGTCTCGGCGTCTTCTTTTTCCTTGAGGCTGGGAAAAGGGAGCAGACATGTTTGGTTGCGAGAAAGAAAGGAGGCTAGGACTAGGAGCCCAGAAGGTAGGGGAGGTAGGTGGTATGGGTAAGTGAAGTAGTATTGAAATGCCACCAAAGGGCAAAAGAGAGACACATGAATGGAAGCACCAGCATCACCTCCGACCTCAGAGCCACTCTAAGCAGACATTTTCGGTACAGGTCAACCTTCTCTAGAAACTGTTCACGAGTTGGGGAAGTTGAAGGACCGGCTTGTCCGACCCATATTCTTCTTACAGCAATATGCCAGAGACCCTTCGTGCAGGTGGAGAATCCCTTCGTGCAGCACCAGAAGTCTGAAGAGTGGCTTTGCTCTCAGCAGTCAAATCGGCAAGAAGAGATGTAGGAGTCGAACGCAAAGAATGTGGCAGCCGAAGCAATGGACACATCGATTGCCTTTTACACTTGGTTGATAGAGGGGATACCCCCAATTGAACAAGCAATAGGTACATTAGTTGACCCACATATACACCCCTCCATAACTATATATTCCATATTATTCCCAAAAGGACATCACTGATGGACACTGTTTTGGGCAGTCTAGAGCTTTTCAAGCATCGACGACTGAGCAGATGTGAGAAGGGTGAATATTGAGGTTTAGCATCGACGACTGGTTCTCATCCCTGCCAGTCCCAGTGGATGAGATTCGCATCATGACTCAGAATCAGTCCCTACCTCAATGGGGGCGCACTCAGAATCAGTTGAGCACTTTGGAAGTGATTCACCATACACTGGCCTTGCCACTGGAACTTCTTTGCATTCCCTAAGATCTCAGAGATGCCCTCGCCTTTGCGTTCGAAATTCTGCCCTCGAGACTCCAAGTATCAAGAGCTCAAATATGCCCAATACAAATGGGCGGGCTTCGGGTATGGACATGAAATGACATGAATAGGTGAACTACAAGGAAATCACGGAATCACGGCGGTTGAAAACCATTTGGACCGTTTTAACAAACGCTAGCGAGCTAGGGTTTTTCAGCGTTTGAAAACGACCCGCCCCCGTGCACTGTTTCCAGGCTTTATCCACCTGGTGCACCAGATCTTCAAGCACCCTTCTTGGATGCATGGACGTTTGGGCACTCAGATGGCCGGCAGATGAGGTTAACCGTTTAAACATGTGCAAACTCTGATTTGAGACTGGAATCTTTGGATTTAGTTTTATGTGGCTTGCCGGTTTCTTGATGTTTCTTGCAAATCAAGCAATTGTTTAAACACAAGATACACAGCACCAACAAAAGAACCGGCTTTTTTAGACGGGCAGATCGATGCTGGGTCATATCACATAGGGAGTAGCACTAACCCTATCGTCCCGGGAGATTCACCCCAGCCTTGAGTCGGGGGTCTTTTCCGTCCGCATTCCTTCTCAGGTGGGGATTCATTGGTGCCGGTGCTGCATCCCTTCTGCTCCTCAGAGCGAACATTTGAAACCTCGATTTCTGCCCATAGGACTAAGGACGCTAGTAGTAACGAGTGCATCGCTACTAGTAACAAGTGCCTTACTACTAGGAACAAGAAGCTATTAGTTAATTTATTCACACTTGCATGTAGCTTGCGGATGCAAGTTTTATGTTCACGGAAGTTCACAAAATGTCCCACCGGGACATTTTGGCTCAAGTTGGTGGCAATCATCCACAGGATTGCACCTGAACAGGAAGCCAAGCAACGCGGCAAAGACGCCCCGGGCTCCGCCACAAAGACCCGGAATCTGAGGCGCACTGAGGCCCGCAAGGAGGCCAGCTCATATCTCGCTGCCCTGGGCCTGGACAAGCCCGCGGACAAGGACGAATGGCGCACGGTGCTCCGCGAGATGGGCTCCTTCCTGGCCACCAAGGTCTTCCTGACCAACTGCCCCGCACCAGTGATGGAGATGCCCGTGGCCCCGGTGCACGATAGCAAAGAGGCCATGCGCTTCAGGGCAATCTGCGATGAGCGGATCACCATCCCGCTGGACGCACTGAAGCAGTTTCCGGAAGTGCACTCGAAGCTGGTGGGCCAGCTCCCGCAGTCGGCCATGGTAGACGTCAAGGTCAACTGGCGCTGCAATGTCACCCACACCTGGGCGGCTGAGGTCCCGGCCTCGGAAGCCTACTCCCTCTATGCCAAGCTGCACTACTCCCACGAGACCATTCTGGCACTGGGGTGCCACCCCCCAGGTGCCTCTGGCCCTGTGGGGGGGCTCTGCACCCATGCAGGGCGACAATCCGAGGAAGAGGGTGGCAAACAACATGGATGTGGGCATTCAGCAGCTGGATCATGGCAGCGAGACCCTGCCTCCTCCGGCGGCCCCGGCCAATGTGACTCCTCGCTACCCGCGCCTCACTGCCAGCAACGTCACCTCCATTGTTGGCAAAGAATGGCGCAAAAAGCACTACCCGGCTCCAGCAAAGACCGCCACTTCTTTTGGGGCGAGGCGGAGTGCGGCTTGATCCTTCCCAGCATCTCCGCCTGGGAGGTCGTCGCCAAGGAGAAGGGAGCAACAAGAGGGGGCTACATGTGCAGATATTGCCAGGGCTTTTGGAAGGCCTCTCGGGGAGGCAGCCGCTTTCTGCAGATTACCGGTGAGCACCGGGGATCACTCGCCTCCCTCCAGCTGGTGCTGGATGAGCCACCCGAGGCTCTCTACAACAAGTGGATCAAGGAACGCATGGAGTTCTACAAGCGGGTGGAGCCCTGCGCTGCCCCTAGAGATGAGCGCCTTGAGCTGGTGGGCAAGATGAACCAGCGCCTGCGGTTCAGCACCAGCAACAACCTTGGGGCAGTGTCTGATGCCATCTGGCAGGTCATCCTGAGCAACGAAGAGATGAAGGGCATCCGGGCGATCCAGCAAGTGGCCCAGAAGGTCACCGCAGCGGCCTGAGGGGCTGCCCAGTGAGAGAGGGTGCCGCGGGTGACTCGGCTTAGACCGTTTTTGTTAAACGCCCATTGGCCCTGGGAGACCAGGGGACATTCGGGTGTTTGGCAGCGATGGGCGAATCCTACTGCCTGACACACCCTTGTCCCTTTGGCGAAGTCCAGGGCAGTTTGAAACTGACCAAGTGATACAGGGTCTGGGGGAGGACCCCAGCATCAACCAAAGCGCATTGGAAAAAGCCTGCATGCTGCTTTTTGCGCTCTTGGGATCTTTTTGACTTCTGGGTACATACTTTAATGTAAGGCACTTGTTACTACTAGCGTGGCACTTGTTCCTAGTAGCTTCTTGTTCCTA